CCATACACATTCAGTATAAAATTCAGTAGTTAAAATTTGATTTTCATCTTTTTCTGGGCCACTGATAAACCAAAAGGTACTCTTTCATAATGCTGGGCAGCAGTAGGAAGGTGCAGCTGCCAGGCAGCTGTGCAGTCAGAAGGGTGAACAGGTACACTTAACAGCCGTCTGTACATCCACTCCATTTCACTTTCAGGACAATATTCAATAAATTACAGGAGATGTTCAGCACTTTATTATAAAATAGGTTTTCTGTTAGATGATTTTGTCTAACTGTAAGGTAATATAAGTGTTCTGAACATGCTTAAGATAGGCTAAGCTAAGCTATGATATTTGGTAGGTTAGGTGTATTAAATCCATCTTTAACTTAGGATATTTTTAATATACATTGATTTATTTAATATACATTGATTTACCAGGACATAATCCCATTTGTAAGTTGAGGAAGATCTGTATAGTTTGAAATCAAAAAGTGTGATGCCTCCAGGTCTGGTTTTGAGTGTCTTTGCTCTTTGCAGTTATTTGCTGTCCTATACAAATTTTAGGATTGTTCTATTTCTGTGAAAAATGCCATTGGAATTTTGATAGGGATTCCGTTGACTCTTCAGGTTGCTTTGAGTAGTATAGACACTTCAGCAGTATTCCTCTAGTCCACGAGCAGGGAATCTCTCTGTTTGTGTCTTCTTCAGTTTCTTTCATCAGTGATGTATAGTTTTCAGTTTACAGTTGTTTTACTTCCTTGGTTAAATTTATTCTGAAGTATTCTTTTTAGTGCTATTGTAAAATGGATTGTTTTCTTAATTTCTCTTCCTGATAGAACATTGTTAATATAAACAATTGATTTTTGTATATTGATACTGTATCCTGCAATTACAGTGAATTTTTTTTGTTTAGTTTTAACAGGCTTTTGGTAAAGTCTTTAGTATATAAAGACAATTATAACTGTTCCTTTCTGATTTGAAAGTTGTTTATTTCTTTTTCTTGCTTGATTACTCCTGAATATGTTGTATTAAACTGGTAAGAGGGCACTTTTGTTCCTGATTTTGTGGGAAAAGGTTTCAACATTTCACTGTTGAGTATGATGTTAGCTGTGAGCTTGTCATTTATGGCCTTTATTATGTTGAGGCACATTCCCTCTGNTTACTTTTTTGAGAGTTTTTATCACGGAAAGGTGTTGAATTTTGTCAAATGCTTTTTCTATAGCTATTGAAATTTGTTAATGTCATTTATCATATTATTTGATTTATGTGTGTTGAACCATCCTTGCAACTCTGGAACAAATCCCACATATTCATAGTGAAGGATCCTTTTATGTAATGTTGAATTTGTTTTGCTAATATTTTGTGGAAGATTTTTGCATCTGTTCAACAGGAATATTGGCCTATAATTTTCTTTTGTTGTAATGTCCTTGTCTGGTTTTGGTGTCAGGAAAATGCTGACCTGGTACACTGAGTTTGGAAGTGAGTTCTCTCCTCTTCTGTTTTTTGGATGAGTTTGAGAAGGATCAAGTTCAGTTACTCATTAAATGTTTGGTAGAATTCATCAGTAAAGCCATCTCATCCTGGATTTTTTTCTGCTGTGTGTTTTTTGGATACTGATTGAATCTCCTAACTACTGTTTGATCTGTTCAGGTTTTCTATTTCTAGATGGTTCAGTCTTAAAAGATTGTATGCTTCAAGAAATTATCCATTCCTTCTAGGTTGTCTTAGTTTGTTGTCTATAATTGTTCACAGTAGTCTCTTACACTTTTTATTTGTCTGATCTTTGTTGTAATGCCTCCTCTTTCATTTCTAATTGTATTTATTAGAATTGTCTGGATTGCTTTCCTGATAAACCTAGCAATTTGTCAGTTTTGTTTATTTTTCCAGAAACCAACTCTTATTTTCATTGATCTTTTCTATTGTCTTTTTAGTCCCCGTTTCATTTATTTCAACTGTGATCTATATTGTATCCTTGCTTCCACTAATGTTGGACTTAGTTTCTTTTTGTGGCTCATTTAGGTGTAAAGTTAGATTTTTTATTTGAGATCTGCTTTTTTATATAGGTATTTTACAGACATAGAACTGCTTTTGTTGCATCACAAAAATTTTTGCATGTCTGTGTCTATTTTGATTTTGTTTCAAGAAGTTTATAATTTCTTCTTTGCCCCATTGGTTATTCAGTTGTTCAGGAGCTTGTTTAATTTCCACCTAAATGTATATTTTACAGTTTTTTTTGTAATGATTTCTGTTTTCATACTATTATAGTTGGAACATATGCTTGATATGATTTCAGTCATCTTGAATTTATTAAGGTTTGCTTTGTGGATTAACATATGATCTATCCTGGAGAATGATTTATGCACTTGAAAAGAATGCTGCTATTGAATGGAAATTTCTCTAAAAGTCCACCTGGTCTAATGTATAGTTTAAGTCCAGTGAACAGCTTCATATATTCATAGTTGACATGGCTTGGAAGGCATTATAATACAGTTATCAAAAGTTTCAAAACCAGAAGTTCTAGATTTGAATCTTGCTACCACTTATTAGCAGTGTGAACTTGGGCAAGTTACCTAACCTCTCTGTGTCTTATTTTCTTCATCAGTGAAATAGGGATAAAAATAGAACCTACCTTATAGAGTTGCTGTGAAGATGAAGTGAGTTTATACATGTAAAGTATCTGGATGGTGCAATATACATGGTAGTCATTATTAGCAATTATTATTTTCACATTATACATAATCTCATATAGCTAAGATATATTTTGTCACTTATAATTGTACAAATGTTGAATTTGAGAGCATAGTTTCATGTATATCTAATAGACGCATTATACATATTTGCTTATTTTATCATGAATGGTTTATGACATTCATTGTTATTAATAGAGCAATATTATAACTTAAATACTGCACTATGGGATTCAAGGCATTGTTGGTACAGTGATCATAGTTGTGAAGCACATCTATCCTGACAAGTTATATTTTAAAGAAGTTATGAGATTTTGAGTATATGTAGCTGATATATTAAATTGCTGTCATAATAAACTTAGTATTTCCTTAGATCCTATATATGTTGAAATTATATAGGAAAGACAAAGAAAATAAAAGTGTTGACCAGGAATTGCTATCAGATGACAATGTTTCAATGATACATCCTTCAATGCATTGATTTCTTTTTGCTTATCTTGATTTTATAAGTTGGATTTATTTTGTACTTTATTATTCATTGTAGTTCTAGAATCTTTTTTTAATTCATGGATTTTCTAAGAAAATTTTGTGAAACAGTATATACTGTAATTACTTTAAGAACACCTCGTAGTTCCTCTTCAGAAAATAATAATCACTACACTTCTAGATTTTAATTCCAAGCCTTCAGTTCAGCTAAAATGGCAATTATTTCAGAGACCACTTTAATTGTTACATTTTTTATCCTGCTTCTCTTTTTAGGACCAGGGTTCTGATCAAGCAGGAAAGGCGAAAGCAAAAGGTAAAGAAAGTATGTTTTTATTTGTGTTAGCTTTATGAGAACAGTGATCTTCTGAAGGATTTTTCCAATGTTAATACAGTCACCTGAGTGAAACTGGAAGGATGTCTTCCTTTAGTCTTCTCCATCCTCGTAGATAGCCTGATTAGCCACCCATTTTGCTCAGGCAGAGACAAGGATCTTTGCTGATATTTGGAATTCTAGTTCCAAAATACATCCCAAGTCTAATCACATCTCATGATCTGTACTGTTAGCACCCTGACTCAAATTGCCCAGAGTACTGTCATGGCCTTATAATCTATCTTCTGCTTTTTTGTTTCTTACATTGATTGTATTACATAATAAAGTTGAGCATGCGTACACCTTACAAGATGTATATACAGTGTATATCCAAGGGAAACTGTTCCACATGTGTACTTTGGGACATGTACATGCTTCTTCGGGTCATTGTTAAGTAGCAAACAAAAAGAGAGAAAGGAGAAAGAGAAAGAAGGGTGGGGGTGGGGGAGGAGGAAAAGGGACTGCCCAAATGTCCATTAGTAGCAGAATGATTAAACAAATGGTGGCTTACCCGAGTAACAGTACAACAGTGAAAATCTATCAACTACATGCCGTTGATGTAGATCTATCTCACAAACATGATGTTGAGAAATGAGCCAACTCACAGAAGAATACAAGCAGTAATATTCCATTTATAAAATGTTATAAAAATAGAACCTACCTTATAGAGTTGCTGTGAAGATGAAGTGAGTTTATACATGTAAAGTATCTGGATGGTGCAATATACATGGTAGTCATTATTAGCAATTATTATTTTCACATTATACATAATCTCATATAGCTAAGATATATTTTGTCACTTATAATTGTACACATGTTGAATTTGAGAGCATAGTTTCATGTATATCTAATAGACGCATTATACATATTTGCTTATTTTATCATGAATGGTTTATGACATTCATTGTTAATAGAGCAATATTATAACTTAAATACTGTACTATGATTGGGATTCAAGGCATTGTTGGTACAGTGATCATAGTTGTGAAGCACATCTATACTGACAAGTTATATTTTAAAGAAGTTATGAGATTTTGAGTATATGTAGCTGATATATTAAATTGCTGTCGTAATAAACTTAGTATTTCCTTAGATCCTATATATGTTGAAATACAAGGAAAGACAAAGAAAATAAAAGTGTTGACCAGGAATTGCTATCAGATGACAATGTTTCAGTGATACATCCTTCAATGCATTGATTTCTTTTTGCTTATCTTGATTTTATAAGTTGGATTTATTTTGTACTTAATTATTCATTGTAGTTCTAGTATCTTTTTTTATTCATGGATTTTCTAAGAAAATTTTGTGAAACAGTATATACTGTAATTACTTTAAGAACACCTCGTAGTTCCTCTTCAGAAAATAATAATCACTACACTTCTAGATTTTAATTCCAAGCCTTCAGTTCAGCTAAAATGGCAATTATTTCAGAGACCACTTTAATTGTTACATTTTTTATCCTGCTTCTCTTTTTAGGACCAGGGTTCTGATCAAGCAGGAAAGGCGAAAGCAAAAGGTAAAGAAAGTATGTTTTTATTTGTGTTAGCTTTATGAGAACAGTGATCTTCTGAAGGATTTTTCCAATGTTAATACAGTCACCTGAGTGAAACTGGAAGGATGTCTTCCTTTAGTCTTCTCCATCCTCGTAGATAGCCTGATTAGCCACCCATTTTGCTCAGGCAGAGACAAGGATCTTTGCTGATATTTGGCATTCTAGTTCCAAAATACATCCCAAGTCTAATCACATCTCATGATCTATACTGTTAGCACCCTGACTCAAATTGCCCAGAGTACTGTCATGGCCTTATAATCTATCTTCTGCTTTTTTGTTTCTTACATTGATTGTATTACATAATAAAGTTGAGCATGCGTACACCTTACAAGATGTATATACAGTGTATATCCAAGGGAAACTGTTCCACATGTGTACTTTGGGACATGTACATGCTTCTTCGGATCATTGTTAAGTAGCAAACAAAAAGAGAGAAAGGAGAAAGAGAAAGAAGGGTGGGGGTGGGGGAGGAGGAAAAGGGACTGCCCAAATGTCCATTAATAGCAGAATGATTAAACAAATGGTGGCTTACATTGGGATGTATTTTGGAACTAGAATGCCAAATATCAGCAAAGATCCTTGTCTCTGCCTGAGCAAAATGGGTGGCTAATCAGGCTATCTACGAGGATGGAGAAGACTAAAGGAAGACATCCTTCCAGTTTCACTCAGGTGACTGAGTAACAGTACAACAGTGAAAATCTATCAAGTACATGCCGTTGATGTAGATCTATCTCACAAACATGATGTTGAGAAATGAGCCAACTCACAGAAGAATACAAGCAGTAATATTCCATTTATAAAATGTTCCAAAACAGAAAGTATGATCAAAGGTAGTAAAATTTAAAGAAAAGCAAAGGAATGATTATTATGGAAGCAGTATGGTTGTTTTAACACAGTATATTGATGTTTCATTGTAAATTTAACTTGTATTCCCTTTATTACTAATGAAACTGTCTTTTCATTCAGGTTTCCTCTATTGCGAGGTACTTTTACAAGTACTTTTTTCATTTTTAAAATTTGGATTGTCTTTTTCTTATTGTGTCTTTATATATTTAGGAATTCTTTGTCATTTATATGTGTACTCTGTGACTTTTACTTTCTTAATGCAGTCTTTGAAGAAAAGTTCTTAATTTTCATTCAGCTAAAATGTCATTTTTTGAATTTATCAGTTCTCTGCTTTATCTTTTATTCCTTTACAGTCTGTTCTTCACACAGCAGTTAGTATGATCTTAAAAGTACAAATCAGAATTTATTGTTCTCCTGCTTAAAAGCCTCAATTGATTTTTGTTGCTTTTAGAATAAAATTTGATTTAGCCATAGCCTAAGAAGACCCATGGATCTGCCCCTGCCTGCTTCTCTGACCTTATTTTTACTACTTGCCCTATTGCTCATTGTATTTCAGCCACACTGACCTTTATTTCACTGTTCTTCCCTTTGCCTGAAATATTCTCCTTCAAGATATTTGCATGTCTGATTTATCAATATTTGGGTCTCAGCTAAAGTATCTCCTTTTAAATTGGCATTCTCTCATCACTACATCTAAATAGCTCCCCACCCTCCAGTTACTTTCTTTCTTCTTTTATTCATCTCTTTTCATGATTGATCTTTTCATATAAATGTATTCTCTTTTCCTCTCCCAGCTCCACCATTAAAATATATGCATGGGAAGAGAGATCGTACCATGTTTGGTTCTGTATCTCCTTTGCCCAGAATTCTGTCTAGCAATAACATAGGTTTTCAATAATAAATAAACTATGAATGTAGTGTGTCCCTAGACTGTTATTTTAAAAATATTCTAACTCTATTTAGACCATTCTTTCGAATATAAGAAAAGGAAAGGCACATGGTCCTTTCCCAGGGTGTTGATCAGTAGTTATGTCACTTCCCAGTTTGAAAATTTCATACCTTTCTTTGCCTTCCTGAACCTCTCTTCCCCAACCTTATTTTTTGTCCCTTCATACCCTTAGATGACCTTTTGTCATATTTCAGAGAAAACAGAAGCTGTTAGATGAAAGTTATTTCAAATTTCTACCACCAGTTCTGTAAACCATCTTACATCTTCATCGGTCGTCTCCTTCCCCTGTAACTGTGGAAGTAGTTTCCTCTTGTCAAAGGAAGGTCTCTGTGATCCAAATTCTATTTATTCCTGCTTTCTCATTGTCTTGCCTGAGGGTTTCAGCCCCAGACAGGTACTCTATGGATTTGGTGAGACCTCATAATGACAACGGAATGTTGCGGGTAAAAAGGGGCTCATACCCAGCTTTATTCTCACCATGGCAGTCAGGCACTAGAATCACGTCCACCTGTGCGTGCAGCAAGCTCGTCCCCATCTCTGCCTGGGCTCCAGGCCCTGCTCCCAGCCTCTGCTCTCTTCTCCAGGCTCCTCTCAGCAACGGGAGAGCTCTTCCTATAGCAGTACCAGCAGTAATGGCTTATTGCTGACACGTACGCAAACATGTGTCCGCGTAGTAGACCAAATATTACTCCTCGCACAGACGCGGTGGGTGGGTATCAGGTGGGGATCCTGGCCATGGACCTTCCATTTCCCCTACAGTCGGGAACTACAGCGCATCGGTTATTTCTTATTTTGCGTCTTCAGCTACTCCCTGTCAACCGGAGGCGTTCCCTTGATGCTCAGACATGATTCAGCCCTTTCCTACTAGAACAGTTAAAGCCCCCTGGATCCTTCCCCTTTCCTGCTGTGCCCCTTCCCTCTTGTCACTCATGCCCTTCTCAGTCCACTCCACTGTGCAGCTGCACTCATGTCAAAATTGAACTCTGCCTTTCAACTCCACTTTCCTGCAGTCTGGCTGACTTTAATAGATCATCTCCTGCAGTTTGCCATTCCTTTCTTTTCTTTTGGTAGATCAAAAACCTTACTTGTCACTTCATGACGTGAGCAGCCTCCATTCAGAGAACTATCCATTCCCATCATTTTGAAACAAGCCCTTCCCTTGCTTTCTTTAAGACATTGTGTGGATTTTATTTCTCTTTTCTGGCTACTCCTCCTGTTATCAGAGACAGGTCCTTGGATCTTCTTGCGAGAAAGAATTCAAGAATGGATGCAGAAAAGCCATTGAGCATTTAGAGTTTATTTGGGATTTAGAGTTCAGAAAAAGATAAGAGTATAGGTCCATGAGTTGGGCTCAGGGATCAATAGGAAGCCTTTTTTATATGAAGGGAGATGAATTTTCAGTAAGTGGGGTTAGTTTCAAAGGGAACAGGTAGAATCTTCCTGGAGTTTGGGCTTGCTCCACTCTCTTTAGGTGGGGGAAGGTTTTTGAGTATACTGGTTCTCAGAACTCTCATGGTGGAAGGAGGTGTGATTTTACTGTGTCAGTGTATAACGCATTTGGAGGTGAAGTCAGGGGCAACTTCTCCATGTTGGAACCAGCTGTTTTTGGCTGGTGTAGTATCTACACCCTCACTCCCCATCCCGTCTCTTCCTGCTGTGTCTAGCTATGTACCTACTCTACTTTGACATGGCTATTTTCAAGTTCAAATTTGATTATTGATTTTCTAGAAATTTTCTGTTATTATCATTTTCTACTTGTCTCTATCAAAGGAGACTTGATAGAAAGATTGAGCCTAATCTTGTCAGGTAAATCAGTTAATCACATACCTTTGTTCTTCCTAGAACACAAAGATGAGTGGCTGTCATGATGGCTGGAGTATGAGGGCCCAGCCTCTTCAGCAGTGTCCTTGGACACTCTTCAGAAGGTTCACTCCTTTGTAGGCAGCCTTTAGTTCTTCCATATTCCAGGAACCGGACATTCCCACCGTCTGGCAAATGGACTCGTTCATCTATCTTAGATATCATTTCCTAAGAAGCCTTCCCTCTCCTCCTGCCCCCACCTTTTGTCCACCCTCCCCAGACCTACCAATAGTTTACATACCCTTCCTGAAGATCCTATACCATCTCTGGGGCACTTGGTTGTAATTATTTGTTTCATTGTCTCCCTTACTATGGTCTTAACCCATCACAAACTAGAACACTTAAGAAATAACACCTTAATTCCAAGACACTGTCGTCATAAGATCTGTAGTCATTTTTTTCAGAGGAGAAAGTATTCACATCCTGAAGTTTCTCCCATTTCATTGCTGAACCATAGTGTGATCTTTTTAAAGATACTTAAGACCAATTTGGGGTTGCAAATCACTCAAGTGAAATATGAACAGATACTTTTTTAGCTTTGGTTAATTTTGCATAACAACATGACATTTAACTTTTTTGCTTGATACTTAGAAAGACTCTTAGATTTCTTAGAAGTTTTTGCAATTTAAAAACATAATTAACATTCTGAAATGTTAGTGTGCAAGAGCCTTAATTTCTTGGAATAGTGATAATTCATCTTGCATTAAATTTTTTGCCACCCTGGTCTTTTCTCTTGGTGTCTCATTTTTATAATCATGTTTACAGCATTGTATTATGAGTTATTTATTGGAACAAAAGATATTTTAACAATTTGTTATAGTGTCTAAGACTCTAACTGTTGTAATAGTTGTTCCATAAGTAAATTTTAAGTAAATGCCTTTGAACTTGGTAAATGAAGTATGTAATCTCAAAGAAATATAATGAAGATAAAGAAGAATAATTACAGTTCAAACAACCAGGAAGAAAATAAATACTGGATTAAAAATGATGATTTTGTGCAAATCTGGCTTAAAAATAAGTCTGGGAGTCATGGAGGCATCATAAAGGGATTAAGTTGGCTCTGGCTGCAGATTAGTTATCACATAGCTCCTCTTTCCTCTTCTCATTTCACTGGACTTCTAATGGCTCTTGGCGGTGCATGTTTTCAAGGCTCTTCATAGCTAAAGGATAGCATATTTTGTAGAAAAACAAGTTTTTAGCTAGTCAGATTTGTTTGTTCAAACCTTTTAAAACTTTCTACATTAAGGTAATTTTAAATCATTTGATACCTCGAAATGACTATAACGTTCTGTTCTAAAGGCACTATATGTAACAAAAGGAGATGAGGCTGTGAAATTTAGTCTTTAGGAAAACTGCAAGTTATAATTGATTTTAATTTATATGTAAATATATAAAAGTGTCACAACACACTAAAAATATCAATTTTTAATAGCATTATTGCTTTCTTATTTTTTATGATTCTGCCTGAAACTGTATGGTTGTGGCAATAACTTTTATATTTAATTATTGCAGGAATACTTTGAAAAGAAAAGGTTAAAATCAAAAATGAAATTACTGGGAGTTTTATCCCCTGTCAAAAATTCCACTGCCAGTTTAGATCTTGTCAACCTATACATGGTAAACCAGATATCTTGCCATAAGAAAACACCTGGTAAGTAAGTCTTTTCAGTAGCATTTTGGCTGATGTGATCATAACATTTAGTTTTCTAATAAGTTTGTAATTTTAGAACTCAAAGGATGTGAAAAGTAAACAAATTTTAAAACTTGGTTGCCCTCTTAATTAGAAGCTTTATTAATTTTTGTTTAAAGTCCTTCACTTAATCCATTTATTTTACTTTTAAGTTGTGTTTTATAAAATTAATTTTATAAGATGTGTTTAAACTTCAAATGCAGTGACTTAAGTTTTTATATTATTCTATCTAGGCAGATAGTTAACCAAAGTTTGGCAGGTAAGCAGGGAATAAATGTCTTTACTATTTTATACTATTTAGGGAATTTGTTTGAAAGAAGAGCTGAAAAGATTTTTGCCGCAGTGATTAGTTTCCTGTTGCACAATATGAATAATTTCTTAGGCATTCCTGGGATGTTAAGTACAGTTGTCTAATATTTTAAAATAAAGTTTATTTTGGCCTGTACTTTGATTCTTCAAGTAAATAAAAATTTTGGTCACAGTATTTCTTTCTCTCTCAAGGGAACTTGAGTATGATTTAATTTTTAAAACAAGTACTAAAATTAGAGCTTAAGAAATAAGACAGTTCAGAAAGGAGGATAGAAATTGATCATAGTATTGTTACACCTCCTTTTTTCCATTCTCTGCTGTTTTTGTTTCTCCCTGCACAGATGACGGTTTACACAAGTAAATGTAGTTATAGTTATACTTCAGCAGAAGTAAACGCACTATTCACGGACTTTAGGAACAAAAGTTTCTCTTGTATGTCTGATATATTTACCTTTTTTTCCTTCACTATATAATACAGCATTAAATTTAGTCACCATGTTTTATGTCAGAGCCTCAGGCCTTTCATCTATAGCTGAAAGTTTGTACCCTTTTACCAGTCTCTTCCTGTTTTCCCTATCTCCCCACCCCCAGCCCGAGCATCTACTTTTCTATTCTCTATTTCTATGAGTTTGACTTTTTTTTTTTAAGATATATGTGAATATATGTGATAGCATGCAGTATTAGTCTTTGTCTGGCTTATTTCACTTAGCATGATGCTTTAAAGGTCCGTCCATGTTTCCACAAGTGGCAGGGTTTCCTTCTTTCTCGTGGCTGAAGAACATTCTGTTCTATGTATGTACCACATCCTGTGTACCCATCCATCCACTGACAGACCCTGAAGTTGTTTCCATGTCTTGGCTATTGTGATAATGCTGCTGGGAACATGGGAGTGCAGACATCTCTTTGAGATGGTGGCTTTACTAAATTTCTAAGGTCCACATTTATTTACTGAATCTGATATATCAAACAATGCTTTTAAAAGACTTTATTTTTCGCTCTTATTTTTAAATGACAGAAACTGTGAGAAAACCAACCCATGTGAATATGAGTAGAGACATAAAAATGCCCCTAAGAAAGCATGATTTAGAACTTCCAGTGTCACCTCATTGTGTACCATCTAACCTCTGCATTGATGATACAGAAAACAAGTACGTTTTAGCTGGATTGTATATTACTAATTCTTTAAATGGATCATTATTGACATTGTTTCATTCAATGGAAAATGTGTAGAGGGCTTCTAGCTCCAGTTTTGTTTGTTAACAGTATTATTAAACTATTAAGATCTTTATCAAGTGACCTAATGTCCATACTAAGTGTTTTGTACACATAGTTTAACTCTATCATAAAAATTTCTCTCTAATAATAATATAATTTTTATAAATTACAGTAATATTATGAGCCTGTAATGATGTACTTAACAGTTCCACATGTTTTTGTGTATTTGTATACAACAGTGTGAATTTTAAATATATATAAAGCATCAGTTGTATCACCATCAATATTTTTAACCTAAAAATTTTCTTTTCATTAGTATACATCATCAAAGACTAGGCAGCAAGAAAGAACTTGGCCCAGTTCAGGTGAGATTTACAAAAAAAATTTAGAAGTTGATTTAACAGTTGTGGCATGTCACCAAATGATACACATTTTTTGAATATCGGGGAGAATTAGTTACCCTTTAAAAATTTTTTGTAGTCTTTAAAATTATTTTAAAAGTTTTTAATGTAAGGAACGAAAACTTGAGAGTGTTCTAACTGATGCTCATGAGAAACCCTGTGGAGCTGTGGTATGTGGGCTACACCAGCGCGTGAGTGGTGTTTGGTTCTGCTTGTTATTGGTGAGCTGCAAAGGGTAATTCCTCTGGGGATTCCTACTTTAGATTCATGTGACATTGAGCAATTCATCTCTTCGAACATAGTGACCATATTTTATTTTATAGCAAATATTTTATTTTATAGCAAATCGTGATTTTCCATATTCACATTGGTCCCGAGATACTCATTTACAATGCTTTGAAAGAAAAATTATTTTACTTTGGCAAATAAAATTTCAGTCAATTAGAAAAAGCATAGATTGTGATTAAAACTTGAAATTTTATGGTTCAGTGCCATGTAATTAATTATCCTTTTTTTTCTTAAATTGCCAAAATAAAACTACATCAGAGAATTAATGGCACTGATACTAAAATCTTCTGGAAATCTTTATGCCTGAATTGTGTATTAATGAAACTCAGATTTACTGCCTTTGAGGTAGCGTGCAAGAATGGAGCTTGAGGGTGGAGGGGACCAGAAGTGAGAAAGGCAGATGGAAAGGAGCTCTTAAGTATAATCTTAGTTGATAACTTCTCTCGTCTTAGTAAGTGTCAGTTTCTGAGATCTTACCTTTCTTTGGGACTTTGGCTGTAACCCATGAGCTTTTTCACTTCTATTTTGACATTCCTTTTCTCTAGTTTATATATTTTGTCAACTCAAATGATCATGTTCTTTCCTACAGTTGTCACAAGTCCTGGGCTCACACAGAATGTTCGAACCTCAGTTCAACAGAATAGAAAACTGCAGTTTCACTCCATCATCTTTTTCAGCAGAATTATCTTCTAATAGACATATTACAGAACAAAATTTCATTCCCAGAATAGCACCTCGTCCTCAGAGAGCTGCGTGTGAAGAAAAGCAGAATGAGCAGGTAGCTTTGAATGACTAGTTCTCAGCACTTTAGTCTGTTAAAGTATGAGTTGTGATTTCTTGATTCTTAACTATGATTTAACAGATGAAGGCTGGTTATATGCACTTCAATTGAAACTCTATAAATATATAGAGATGTATAGTACTAAAATGTTTCATCATTGTATTCTCTCAAGTTGAAAAATATGAAAACACCCAAATTTTAAAGTTCTGAAATATGTCTGCCATAGCATATAACAAGAAATTATCTTTTAGTAAATTTATAAAGTTTAAGAAAATTATTGTCATTCTACTAATGTACAGTTGTAGTAAGGAAAATGGTTATATCTTATTAAGAAGAATAATTTAATTTTGAATTTCTCCCATTTTTAGCATGTAGTCATTTTATGCCATATTTATAAATTTATTATTTATAAATTAATTTTTAACTTACAATTCCACCTATACTTTCATAAATTACAGTTATATATTGTATATTGTCCTTTTATATATATAGTGATTCAATTTTATTAAAGTATGTTTTCTGCTTTTCAGAGAAGAGATAATGTATATTCCTGTGATATGTACTAGCTTTATTAATTTAAGGACACAATAATTTTTGAATGATGCAATGAAAAACATTCAATTAACCATTCAGTTTGTATTTTCTAGAATAAAAACTTGCATCCTAGATCAGCTTCTAACTCCTCCTTGCTCTATTAAATAGTTCATAGTTTAGAGAGTGCCAGCCTCTGTAACCTCTGGATAGTCCAGCTGTAGACTGCAGGTCAGTGATTACCTCCAGAGGGGTGAATAATGTTATACTTAATATGGCAGAAGAGACAAAAGAGAGACATAGTGTCATATTCTGAAATATTAGGGAAGTATTTAATAGCTTATTTGGAGGGATTTCAAGAAAAGTGTATGAAAGAAAATGAATTAAAACAATAGGTTAGAAGGAAATGTGGTCTGGAACTCTCTGTTCCCAGAGAACTAGTTTTGATTCAGTTTATAATATTCTCTTCTCGTTTTTGATTTGTTTGTGTTTCTCATTTCATGGGATGACTTTGTTTCTACACCTCTGTCTCTGTCTCTCTGAGGCTGGGATGTGAGATGTATTATCAGACTTTATTTTTTCCCTGATGTTTGATTTTTTTTTAAGATTTCCAGAATTTCTTTTTGTCTCCCCCCTTTTTTTCCTATTTTTTTGCCTGAATTGTGCAAAAAAAGTCCAAAATTCTCTTTGGACTTTGAATTTCTCTTTTCAGAGGTTATAAATAAAATATACTACAGGTAAGAAGTATTATTGCTGGATAGATTAGTGTTAGGCAAGTCTTATATCTTATATTTCTGTGGTACCCTCCACATTAACAAATGGGTTTTATCTCATCTGCTTTTCAGTCTTCCCATACTTTCACCATTTTGTACTCAATGATACTGATAGAAAAATTAAAGTAGCAGTCTGAACTTACTCAGTAAATGGAAGAATGGAGATGAATACAGCTGTTTCCTTGGGAGAAATTATTATTTTTTGTCAAGGAAATTGAACTTTTTTTTACTCAAGATACTGGTGTGATGGGTATTTCTTTACTTTTTTTTTTAAATATATATTTTTTACCTCTGGGAAAATGGTTATCTTACCATAATATCAATTGTGTCATTTTAACTATCAGTCGTCTACTGATGCTGCTTCATTGTTAGAACAATATTTATTTTGTTTTCAGTAAGGGCACACTTACCTTTCTTTTAGACTAAACAGTACATGTTTTGAATATAGATGTCCACTTAAATGACATTTTATAGTAAATAATTTCAGTTGTATGTATCTACATATACCCTTTTGACAGACTCTTCCTTTCTTTTTTTCAGCTCAGTAATGTTAATTTTTCTAATTCCTTGTTTTCCAAATTAAATGAAAATCAAGATACTCTCAGTCCATCATATAAAACAGCACAATTTGGAATGTTGTTTGAAAGATTTAACAGGTAATGAAGATGTTGAAGTAAAGAACCTGTAGCATTCTTTCTTTGAGTTATTAATCTGATTTTAATGGACACAAATATTTTTAGTTAGAAATATAAACAGACCTAAGTAATACTCTTAGAAAAAAATACTAGTAGAAATAAAATTTAGCATTTAGTTCAAGTAGTTTTAAGTGATTATTTTCTAATGTACATATCTGCTGTTAATTTATTTAAAAAAATATTTTGGTACAAGGTGTTTTGCACCTATTTTGTAATTTCCGTGAATTACTAGTGTAATTTCTTTTTTGTATTTGTGGTGGTTGTTCAGTGCCCCACTTTAATTTCCTAGATGTCTGTACATAAACTCTAGTTTTAAAATCTGTTAAACTTGTAAAACCAGTTTGAGGCACTCTTGGTGATAGTGGTGAGAAACCTCACCCAATCCTATTCCAATCTTCCTCATTTTAATAAATGGTACCACTATTCACTGAGTTGCTTAAACCAAAATAAAACTTGTGCTTAATTCCTGCCTTTCCTTCAACTCCCAGTATTCATTTTACCAACAAAGTACTATTAAAACTTATCTACTCACATTTCACATATCCACAGGTTCCATCCTAGTCTAAGCCACATTGGCTGGAGAATTGTAATACCCACATAACTGTTCTTTTTGTTTCCTCTTTGTGTAGAAATCCAGTATTTTTTATAGCTTTATTAGTGTATAATCAAACTACAGTAAAGTGAACTTACCTAAAATGTGTACTTTTGTAAGTTCTGACATTTGTCAAATATGACAGACATATTCATCATCCCCAGTAGTTTCTTTAGGCACCTTTCTAATCCCTTCCTCTGGCTATGTCACATCCCTTACCCCCATCCCAAGACCACTGCTGATTCGTTTTCTGTCCCTTGATTAGTCTATTTTCTATAATTTTATATAAGTGGCATCATACAGTATGTTCTCTTTTTGGTTTAGCTTCTTTCACTCAGTGTAATTATTATTTGAGATCCCTCTATGCAGTTTCTTGCCATGTATCAATAGTTCATTTCTTTTTATTACTAAGTAGTATTCCACTGTACAGACATAGCATGATTTATTCATCTGTTGCTAGGCATTTGGCTTTTTTCCCCCCAGTTACGGTTCTTCCAAATAAAGCTACTATGAAAGTTCATGTAGAAGCTTTGAATATATGCTTTCATTTCTCTTGCATTAATACCTACTAGTGGAATGGCTGGGTCATATGGCAGGTGTATGTTTAACTTTTTAAGAAACTGGCAAATTGCTTTGTATCATTTTACATTCCCATTAGCAAAGCATGAGAGTTCCAGTTGTATCACATTGACAACACTTGGTATAGTCAGTCTTTTAAAACTTAGGCCATTCTGTCAATGTGCAATAGTATCTCCTTGTGGTTTTAATTTTGCATTTCATTTCTCTATAACTAATGATACTGACATCATTTCATGAGCTTATTAACCATTTGTGTATTTTTGCTGAAATGCTTATTAGCCTTTTCATTTTCCTAATGGTGTTTTTGAGAAGTAGAGAAGTAAAAAAGGTTTTAATTTTGAGGAAATTGAACCTGTTTTTTTCATTTATGAATTATGCATATGGGGTCATAGCTAACAAATCTTTGCTTAAATCAAGGTCAAGATTTTCTCCTATTTTTTCATCTATCTTGTTATTTCAGTTCTTACATTTAGGCCTATTATCCTTTCTGAGTTAATTTTATTTATGGTATGAGTTAAGGGTCTAAATTCATCATTTGTATTTATGGAAAGGAAAGAATATTTTTTCCCCCACTCAATTGTTTTGGCACTTTTGTTGAAAATCAGTTGATCAAATCATATGTTTTTGTTTTTGTTTTCCCCTGGAATCTCAGTTCTATTCCATTGATCAGTCATGCCCATCTTTATGTTAGTGCCACACTGTCTTGATTAGTTTTATTATAAGGATTGAAACTGGTAACTGTTAGTCCCCCAGTTTTTTATTTTTCAAAAATGTTTTGGCTCTTCTTAGTCTTTTGCATTTGTATATAAATTAGTTTCTAGGGGAAAAAAAAGCCTACTTGGATTTTGATAAGGACTGCTCAATCTGTAGGTCACTTTGGGGAAATTGTCATCTTAGCAGTAATGACTCTTACAGTCCCTGAGCAGGAAATGTTTATCCTATTCATTTTTCTTTTTGAATGTCTTAGCAGCTCTATAGCCCCAAACTTGAACTAACTCAGATGTCCATTAGGGATAGGATATTATATAATATTCATACAATGGACTAATACACAGAAATTAAAAAGAATGACCTACTGACACAGGCAATAGCAAGCAGCAACATGGATGAGTCTTAACACAAAAAGAGGACCATGGCATAATTCCGCTTATATAAAGTTCAGTTTCATTTATGTGAGTTAATTTATGGTCACAGCAGTCAGAATGGCAGTTACTGTTGGGAGGTACAGACTTGCAGGGGCATGAGAGAATCTTCTAGTATGCTGGAAATGTCCTGTTTTTTCTTTCCCAGCATTATTGGGATATAACTGACAAAAAATTATATTACAGTGCTTAGGTGATCAGTTAATATACATAGACAATGTGAAATGATTACCACCATCAAGCTAATTAACGTCTGTCACCTGACATAGTTACCATTCTGTGTGTGTGGTGAGACCACTTAAGATCTACTACTAAAAATTGCAAGTATACATTATAGTATTATTAGCTATAGTCACAATAGTGTACATTAGATCCCCAGAATGTCTTACAACTGGAAGTTTGTATCTTTTGACCAGTATCTCCCCACTTAACCACCTGCCCAGTATTTGGCAACCACCATTCTACAATCTGCTTCTTTGACATTGAGTTTTTTAGATTCCACATGTAAGTCAGATCATACAGTATTTGGCTTTCTGTCTCTTATTTCACTTAGCATAATTTCCTCTGTGTTCATCCATTTTGTCACAAATAGCAAGATTTCCTTTTTTGTGGCTGAACGATATTCCACTTAATATTCTTTGATTTCTCTCAGTAATGTATCATAATTTTCAATATATAAGCCCTGTGCTGCTTTTGTTAAATTTATCCCTAAGCATTTTATTCTCTTTATGCTTTTGTGAATGTAACTGTTTTCTGAATTTTTGGATTGTTCATTGCAAGGACAAGGAATACGATTAATTTTGTGTATTAATCTTACATCCTTCCATTGTGCTGAATTCATTATCAGTTCTAATAGTAGTTTTGTGAGCTCTTTAGGGTTCCCACTACACTGGATCATGTCGTCTATACAGGTATTCTTACCTTGATCTTCCAATCTGGATGCCTTTTCCTTCTTTCTGGCCTGACTGCAATGACTAGAACCTGTAGCTCAGTGTTGGACAGCAGTGGACAGAGTGGGCATGCTTGCGTCATTCCCAGGTGCCCGGAAAAAGTATTTAGCCTCTCACTATTAAGTATAATGTTAGCTGTAGATTTTATTAGGTGTCAAGTTGAGGAAATTCCCTTCTGTTCCTAGTTACTGAAAGTTTTTATCATGGATTTTATCAGATGCTCTTCTGTGTCTCTTGAGATCATCATGTAGTTTTTACCCTTTATTTTGTTAATATATATCACCTTATTTGCACATATAAGCCCACCATGCATTCTGGAATAAAGGATGCTTTGCTGTGGTTTATAATCCTGTTCATATATTGCTGGGTTCAGTTTGCTAGTATTTTGTTAATGATTTTTGCATCTATATTCATGAAGATAATTGGTCTGAATTTTTCTTTTCTTGCAGTGTGTTTGTCTAGCTTTGGTGCTGGAGTAATACTGACCTCATAGAATGTAGTGGAAACTGTTTACTCCTCTAATGGAGGAATTTGTGGAAGATTGGTATTATTCCTTCTTGGAATGATTTTGTACCTGTGCTTTACTTAGTGGGAAGATTTTTACCTACTAATTCTTTTTTTTTTAACTTGTTATAAGTCTTATTCAGATTTTCTAATGTTTTGAGTCAGTTGCAGTAATGTGTGTATTTAAAGGAATTTATTTCATTCAAGTTTTATGACATTGTTAGCAAAAAGAAAGTTTTTTTATGGTTTCTCTTGAACTCATTTAAATTTCTGTGGGGTCAGTATTGATGTACTTTCTTTAATTCCAAATCTGTGTCTTTTCTCCCTTCTTTCTTGGTCCAGTTAGCTAAAGATATGCTGATTTTATTGGTCTTTTTAAGAACTAAATTTTGGGTTTCATCAGTTTTGTTTATTTCTGTTTTCCATTCCATTGATATCTGCCGTGTATGTTCATGATCGCTTTTTTCTGCTTGCTTTGGTTTAGTTTGCCCTTCTTTTGCTAGTTACTTAAGGTGCAAGCTTAACTTACTGATTTGATGTCTGTCTTTTCTTCTAATGAAGGCATGTAAAGCTGTACCAGTCAATGAATAGCTGGAGAGTGTGTTTAAATACCTTGAGCTAATAAGGCATCTCCTGGTGGGCTCAGCCAGGGATGAGTGGACAGCTGAGGCCCTCCTGACTGTGCACATGGCCTTACATGTGTGTGCAGCCTTCCAGACCACCAGGGGTGTCTGGGACTTACCGGGACCTATTATGTCTGTCTGTTTTCTGGATCTCTTGGAAATTTCTGAGTGATTTTTTTGCTTGCTCCAAATATTGCAGGCTCAGGAAGCTGCCATATTGGGCTTCCTTGATGGTTGGCCACCAAGATAATGATTGTTTCTGACAAATGTTTAATTTATGTCTTTTATCTGTTGTACTTATTAGTGGTTAATCATTTATTATCGTCCTTCACTAGAATATAAGGTAGTCTCCCTACCACATAGTAGGCACACATTATAATATCTATTTAAACATGTAAAAGGCTTATTTAGATATGAATTTATCCCTACTTTAGTGCATAATTATTAATGAATTTTATATTTATCTGTAGGAAAATAAATTGTTAAGTAAGTTGGAGATTTGCCTTAGTAAGACTTAACTTTTTACCGTTGCTTTTCTCTGTCACCTCTATGAGTAGCAGTTCTTCCCAACATTGTGCCCACCTGAAATGCCACCTGCCTGATTTTTCTCAAGCACAAGTCCTTCTTTCTATTTACTATAGTAACACTTGACTGTAGAATAGCACTTACCATGTTCTAAGTTTTTTCTGTCCCATTCTAGAGGATTTGGGGAACCATAACTGTATATTATGTATTTCTCTATTGCCCAAATCTCTGTGATTTTCCTTAGAGTGCTTAAAATATGTTTGATTATGAATATTTGTAGTGTGTTTTCTAACTTATGAAATGCTTTTACATTTCTTATTTAGAGTAATACAAATTTCTTTGGTGTTAATTGTGTGTATCACTGCAAAGTGTAGAGTCAGTCTTTTGGTATAACTGAATAGCATTATTCTGGCCAAAACACCAATAACACCCATATTTAGAAAAAATAAAGGATCATGATCTATGAACATTTATAGGCAAAACATCTCTTTCTCTTTAATACCAAATTGAATTATTTTTTCTCTGTTTCTGCAGCACATGCCTGGAACACAGCAGGTGTGCCTGCTCATTAAATATTTAATAAATAACTTTAAAAATAAAATTGGAAATGAGAGTTTTAGCAGTCTCATTGTTTTGGTACCTCTGATCTCTGGAACAGCCCAACTCCAAGTAATTTTGTAGATGGTTAATGGCATCAAAATCCAAAATATCGTGATTTCTGATTAACTATGATAGCTTTGATCCTTTGATGCAAGTTGGGCCTAGCCTAGAATTAGGATTTTTGCATTAGGAGGAAAGTCATAAGTTATCTAGTCTAAACTCTCATCTAGTTCATCTTATCTCTTGGCTTTATTGCTTAGCTATGCATTTGTATCTATATTGCTCTTCCTTGTGAACTTCAGAGTTGTTTTTATATCCTTGTTAGGTTGAGAACAATCTGTTACAGTGTTCTCATAACTATTTGACTTGGTGTTTTTAACATTGGGGATTATTTTTCTCTGCACAGTCTTCAAAATATCTTTTGTCTGGTTGACTGGAGTAGCAGTTCATACAGTGGTTGTTGAGCTTATTTGCTAGACCTTATTACAGAATACTATAGGTTGTCCATATTTTTTTTTAGTACAACAGTAAGTTGAACCATATGATAATTTTCTTGTTCAAATACTAAGAATAGATTATTTTTATACTCACTATGGCATTAGAAGAGCACATAAACATATTTCCACCCAAAGCAGTATTATTTCTAGGTAAATGTTTGTAGCTACATTCTCTTAGAATTTAAGTGTTTCTAAATGAAAATGCTCTGTGCTTTTCTTCCTAAATATTTTTTCATTTATTCCACAGTCCAGGAAATAGGAATTTCCCAACTGGAAGACCTGCAGTAGTGATGGATGAGAGAAGACAGTCAGACTTCATTACTGAAAAACGATCAGTACAACATATGTGGGGAGAAAATAGAAAAAAGGCTTTAGGTTTTCTTGAAGATGTGAACCAGCCAACCCCCAGGCTTCTGTCAGAGAATTGTGACTCTTTTATTAGTGGAAATGTGATCAGCTTATTAAACATAGATCAGCAGAGAATAAAGAATACCTTTGACAAGTGTGGTTATGACAGTATGGGAGATACTTGTGCAATCACTAGTTCTGATAAAAGCAGTTCCACTGATGGATGCATTGAAAGTATTTTTACAGATCCAGGATTGAATTTTACTAATTCTACTTTTACTACAAGTTATCCAGAAGGGTGCTGTCCACACAGGAGCCATCAGGAGGACAGCAGTAATGAAAGAAGTGCCCTTAATACATCTTCTGAGGGTTGTTACCCAGCCAATTCTCAAAAAAAGGGTGGGTATTATATGTGGAAACATAATGGTCTATTGTTTTTTTTCTTTCAGATTTTATATGTGTGTGCATTTATGTATTTGTGTATGTATTGGAGGAATATGAAATTAAAAATAGAATGGCATTCCATTATAGTGATGTAGTGGACCAGCGATTTCCCACTATATGCGTCAGGCTAATAGTGTTCAAATTAAGAAATAGAAATAGTCTATGCTAAGGTTTTAGTTCAATGCATAACTTTTATTTTTAAAGGAAAATTTGAAAGTGATCAAGAGAAGACACCACAGAAAAAAATCCGGCAATATCCAGTGAACCATATGTAAGTTTTTGGGTAAATCTGGGGACTGCAGGGCAGGATATGGTATCATACATGTTGAAGTGTTCAGACGGTACAGAGGTGAATTACTGCTGTCCGAGGGTGGGCAGACTGGCCTCAGAGAGATTTGTCACTGGTCAGGATCTTGGTAGTACTGCCTTGCTTGAGAGTATTGTGCTCGTATTTGCCAGTGAAAAAATATTTTCTTATATGAATCTTAGTTTTAATTAAATTTGAGAAAACTGACTTATGTGTTCAAGAAACTTACATACTTTCTAGAATGTCAGTTTATGAATTTACAGTAAGAAAAGAAGAGTCACATACATGGGAATGCTTACTGGCGTGATTTTTTTTTTTGGCTGGCTTTTTTGCTGGCGTATTTGCTGGCTTTTGGCAGTTTTCCGTGGGAAGGTTGCTTGGTTAGGATAGTGTCAGAGCACAGGAGTAACAGAACCCAAAGGTGAATGGCAGAAGCAAGCACAGTACCATCTGTGGGATGGCATGTATAGACAATTAAAGGAAACTTGTAGTTTCAGAATAGTCCTAACTTCCTTGGTAGTAATTGTGATTTAGTAAAATCTTGGTAATTGAAAATCATGAACTAGCATAAATTTTTATTCTAGAAGTGCTTTCTTATGGAAATATTTAATGTATCTATTGATAAAAAAGAACATATAGATAGCATTTTATAGGATTGGCATAACAAAGTGTGGATTCATTACTTCCTTAATACAATTGACAAATTAGGTTCTTTGGGGTTCAATATCCAAATAGTCAGAAACTTATGAATGAAAAACAGCATGTTAGGCCTTGAATTTTAAAATGTACTTTATGAAAGTGATTTAGAACATAGTTCCCAAACCTAGCTGCAGATCCATAGTACCTGAAGGGGTGATTTTAAAAGACAGAATACCAACTTTGGCCCATATGTAACAAATGGACTCCTTAGGATGGGCCTTAGGAGTTTTGATTTTTTAAAAACTTCCCTCATAATTCTGATTGGCAGCCAAATTTCAGAACCATAATTTAGAACAACACTTTTCAGAGGGAATAAAGCAGACTTTAATACTGTCTTTCTTATGACCCTTAGGGGTGATATTCCTTTGGAAGGATTGCATTCCAAGCAGTCACTGGATTTTCGACCTGGTGAGGTAAGTACATTTTATATTATCTTACCAGTTCAGTCAGTTGTGTTACCATATGTCATATGTTAGTATTTGCAACTTACTTTGATTTAAGGTTACCTTTTATTGAAATAATTTTTAGGCTCTTTTTTTTTTCTTATGTTTTCTTACCGTGTGGAAATTATGGCTTACATCTAGAAATAAAATTAACGCCTTTTCAGAAACTGTAATGTGCTTTATTTGAGACAAACCAAACTAGAAACATTTAAAGTTCTTTCTGTAAGTCCTATAAATTTTTTTCCAGGTTGAAAATGCTTTAGGGTTCAGTGTGCTGCAGGGGAACATAGTTAACTTGTTTAAGAATACTGAAACATCTACAAACACTGGCATGTAAATTGTAACCCCTGCTCATAGTAAGGGTGTGTGATCCTTACAACAGTCCAGGCACTGTGCTAGGAGATTGGTGTACTTCATACCTCATCTGCAAGTGTCTGACCCTGTAAGGTCTTCACAGCAAAAGTTCAGAGAAATTAAACAACGTGTTCAGGGTCACACAGTTGAACCAGGATTCAAACTCTTGTGTTAGCTGACTCTATATTTTCAACTATACTAATTATTTTCTCTTTAATAAATAAGAGTTGAATACATATTATGAATTCATTTAATAGAATTTGTTGTGTGTCTCCTATATGCTAGACACTGGGGATACAGTGGTGAAAGAACAAAGTTTTTGTTTTTCATGGAGTTTACATTCTGTTATGCACTAGACTCTGCAAGGTACAGAGGAAAAAGACATGGAACCTTGTCTTTAAGAAGCTGTAGTCTAGTAGCTACATAGAAACAACAAAATAATCTAGTGCATTTAGATAAAACTGCTCTTTCTGGGGCTTATACAAAGGGCAGTTGGAGCCAGTAAAGGACACTTGTAAGTTTCCAGGGTGGTCAGGAGGAGATGTGATAGAGGGGAAAACTTCTGATCTGGGTATCAATAAATAAGTTCACCAAATGGACAAACTGCTTTCATCTTAGGAAGATGGACCAACATAAAAACTAGAAGTGAAAGAGTATAGCTTGTTTCAGGAACCACAAGTAACTTGTTTCATTCTCGTTACTGTTATTACTATTATTATAGCATAAATTACAAGGGGTGGGGGAATGGCAAGAGGTTATTCTGGATAATATAAAGGGCCAGGTCATCCAACACCTAGTATGACATAATAATTTAATTTCCTATCACCAAACAGAGTCACTGAAAAAATATTAGCAGAGTAATATGATGATATCAGAGTATTAAAAAGTTGACTCTGGCAACAGTGAGGAGAGATATGAGAAGTGACAGGGCAAAAAATAGTGAGGGCTTGAAGGTGAGTAAGTGTCAGTAAGGAGGAAATGAGGGAAGAGCTATCACAAAGACTCAGAAGATCTAGATTTGATAGGACTTGATGAGTTAAGAGAAAAGGAAACAATTGAAGACCTGAATTTATGATTTGGACAAATGGGTAATTAACTGGATGGCAGTGAAGCCTCAAGGCATATATGGAGTCATAAGATGGGTAGGACTCGGTCTCAAAATCTCTAGAAGGAAGAAAATTGGATGGTAACCAGGAAAACTCATTTCAAATTACAACATGAGAAATAAATAATTGTGTTTGGGCATCAAAAATTTTGTGATTTTATTTTAAAAACAT